AGTAAAAACAAAGGCAGAAGCAGCAGCAGCAGCAGCAGCAGCAGCAGCAGCAGCAGCATGTATTCCAAAATATGGGTAACTCATGTTTATCAGTAAACTGATTGATGCTTCTAATGTTTGTGAATCACATTCCTGATGCCAGCTGGCTTTGCATCATAAATCAGGAAATTATGAGTAGGCATAGTAAATTGTAGCAATATACAATTGCAAAATTATTCTGCAAACATACCTGCAGTCACTTAGCTCAGATGTCTACTTTAAAGCATCTCAAAAGTTTCCACAATTTTGCTGAAACTTTTGTTATAGACAAGCAGCCAATTTTTGCTCACTTAATATGCTCTCTCAATAGATTTTGCATGTTTCTGTCTTAATTTTGGGATAAGAATATTCATGTTTCTATTGAAACTATTTCAAGGCTTGTACTGTGTGTCTGTCACTGAACATACAGAGCTGTGTATGAATGATAATTAGTGAAATCCCTGCTTAATTCCCAGTTCTCAGATTTCAATGCAATTGTGGCATTTCTTCTGAGGCTTTTCATCTTCTTGTTTTTATTATTTCCAAAGGGAGATCATGAGATTTATCAGTATCATTTTAGATCAGCACACAGGCAAGAGGTGAGTTTTCTTTCCTCAGTAGATGAAGTTTGGAATCTATTATAAGTTAAATGAAAACCTTAAAGACCCATTACTGTCTTTGTTGAAGAAAATTGCAATACTGATAATATTTGGAACACTAAATTGATTGTGGCAGTTCTTCTGAGATGCATAAAGACAGAGAGCAATGTTCTCCTTTGTGTTGTGCTCATGATGCCATTTGTGACTCAGCAAAGTAACTACAAAGCTCTACCGAAGCAGCACAAGGGGTTGGGGATGTGCACCTTGAAGGAACAAAGGTGCTACTATCAAGAGCCTGAGTCCTTTGGCCGTGATAACTTGGCTTCAGTTGGAAACACTGTTGATATACATTGGGATGGCTATATTGACAAATATGGGAGAATACCTTATTTTATGTTACTTTAGTTCAGCAGAACATTCTTACGCAGTCTGATCCATCCAGGAGCAGTGATCAGTGCTTCTTAGAAAGTAAAACACTCAACTGCATGTGTCCATCCCTTCAGTTGATCAAGCCCTTCCAGAAATAAAATGAATCAGGTCTGGTCTTTTATATTGAACCAGGAGACTGGCTCTATTTGGCTTGTCCTGCTCCAGAGTTTTTTCAAAGAGGGAATTCTCGCCTAGGTTTGTTCCTTAGCTGTCTATTCATGAAAGTCAGATATATATGGGTAAATAAGATTTTCTAGAGCTAGACCGCATGTAGTAAGCAGGACAAAGCATACCGTATTGCAAATCATTGAGCAGCTCCGTGCTGGAATGTGTATTTATCAACAGTAAGTGGCATGACACAATATTCTGCAGAGCTGTCTAGAACAATTTCTTCAACAAACTCTTAAGTTACCCTCTTGAGCATGATGTGTTTTCTTCTTACAGTTCCCAAAAGAGAAAGTTCCAGCTCACCAACTGAGCAGCATGTACTCATCCACGAGATCCAGTTATGCCACATCCCGAGCCACTTCCCGGGTTAGTTGCACAATCTTCAGAGGTTTCTGAGAAGGTGGAAGAATGGCAGGGTAGCTATGCCTTTGCAGTAATTGTTCAGCTAGGATAGCGGGAAGAGAGAAAAATGAACCTGTCATGTCATATTGAGAGTGAGATGCACACTGTCAGTCCCCAGCACGCTTTCCTCTGCAGTGAGGCAAGGATCCCTCTTACTTGGAGTTCAACATCACAGCCCTTCCCTCACTGGGCCATACCACCTGACAGATGCCTTCATGGACTCATCTTGTGACCCCTGCAACCAGAGGGAAGCTGAGGTGCTACATGGCCAGTGCAAGGGCACCAGCAGTGGAGGCCAAGGCTAAAAGTAGCCTCAGCGGAAGACTCCATCTCCAGGGATGACATATAGCAGCTTGGCCCCTCACCAGCACACACCTTGGTGCATGGGGACTTGCTCTCTGGGGAGAGGTGTAACAGTGAAGTGAAGGAATTGTGAATTATAGCACACTTGGGGCCCTGCTGTCAAAGAGGGAAGTTCTCATGAAGAGAAGGTCCTGGATTATATTTTGTGCTCGACATAAAACAAAAGCTCATGCCCACCTCACGAGCTTACAGCTGGAGTATGAAGTGACAGACAATAGGCTAAGATAGAGACAGAAAAACAAGAGGAAACTGGTTAGGGGATGGTATTGTTGGGAGAATGAGTAATGAGTATAACTGACAGCTTATGTTATAAGTTATATTTAACTGCTTTCTTTCATTCCCAGGCAAATATATTAGTAAAAATAATGTAACCTAGATCCTATAACCCTTGCTCTGTCCTAATGATATGAATATTTCCTTGGTTATCGGGTGCAGCTGAGTAAATGTCACAAACTTTTGCTTGTATCAAACATAGTGATAAACATATAAAATTCATCCATGTGTGCACAAACACATGCACATAAGATGTGCATGAGAGTTTGTGGGCGTTATGTATGTGGTACACATGCTGGTATATTTTTGCAGTTCAATTGCTTGTTTTTCATTTATCCATCTAGATTTTGTATGTAAAATGTTCCATAGTAACTCCTTTGTAATGACATTCTTTGCATACTTGTTCCCCTTGTTCTTAGCCTAAGTTTTTGGGAGATGTTAAAACACCAGTATTAGCTGTTTTTCTTCATGGCATTCGGAGCAATAAGAAGATAGGAGGCCTCCAGCTCGTGGTATATGCTGATATCTACTCCATCAGGCCCCGGATGCAGGTATTTGTGTCAAACCTCACAGATTCAAGCAAGTGGAAGCTCTGTGCTGATGCTTCAGTCCTCAATGCTCACAAGGCAGCGGTAAGGCTCAGAAATAGTTGTGTACAGCTATATGCATCACAGGAAACTCATGTTCCACATGTTTAAAAATGGGCCACCTGTCTCTCCATTATAGGCTTATCTGAAATGGGGCCGGAACTGCCAGGACTACAAAATTTCTACCGAGCTGGTAACTGGGCGGTTCGCTGCTCATCCTGCTGTACAAATGAAATTGGAGTGGCCTAAAGTGCCTTCAAGTGTCAGATCAATAGCAGAATGGTGAGATTTTAGTCCTCTGTTTCACTCATTTATGATGTTGGTCAACTGGGAAACTCCACATCCACCCATGAGAATCTAGTGATTAAAGTACTGGTTATTTTTTTCTCTGATCTGTTTAAGTTTCAGTACTGTCTTTAGACATAAAAGCTGAATGGAAGATCATAACCATCCTATGGTAATGTACAGGAATTCTTTATACTGAGCATAACTACTGAAAACCAAGGAACAGATTCTTCCTTTCACTGAACATTTGATCAGTAAAGCAAAGAGTGGGCATGGTATCCTAACTTTTTATTTGGTAATGTTGATCCTGAAGAAACTGTATGCTACTTAAGCAAAGGTGTGAGACAGCCTGTTTTGGATGTATACTTTTTTTTGCTTCTCTGTTTCACCATATCCTTCTGTTGTGAATTTTTAAAGGTTTTACAAGTTTGTCCCTGGGGCTGCATTTATGCTGGGTTTCTCTGAGAGAATGGACAGGAATCCTTCTCGGCAAGCCAGGGTGATCGCAGCTCTAACTTCTCCAAGGACTTGCGATGTTGTTATCAAGCTTCCTGATGTAAATATGAAATATTATCATCACTGTCCCATTTTCTCCTGCAATAAAAATCAGATAGTTGTTTTTTAATTACACTAGGTCAATTCTGAGAAAGAAAAGTTAAGTAAGCATCACTTTGGGTGTAAATGATGAAAACAATTTTTGTTTTCAATCTTTTTATATTCCATCTAAGAATATTCATAGAGAGATTTTGTTCATGGGAGAAGAGAGTGCCATGGGTACTCATAATGACATGTGTTTTCCTTTGAAGTTGCTTCATAAGTGTTCACCTAGCCACCGTTGAAAGGGAATAATTCATTCTCTCCCAGGTAATATCTGAATGATGACCCCACACCATGAGAGTACACTTAAGCAGGAGCAACACGCTCATGGAGAGTCAGATGAATTCTGTTCTAAATCATATAAATTCTTTGTCAAACAAACAATTGAAATCAATTTCCAAATAGGAAAAAAGGCTAATCTGAGCTGTTTGCGCAGAATACCTGGCAAAAGTGTGTTTTGAATGTGCTTTTGAATTCCTTTTCAGATGATCCTCTATGAAAAAGCCATGAGGCTTCCCCTGTCCCTCCCTGTAGGTCCAAGGATATCAGCTTCACAGCTGCAGCCTCCCATCTGGAATGTCTTTGCTGAAGGCCCCTCTGCAGTACTCGAGAATTTGAAAGGTCAGGATTTAAACTGGTTCAGAAGCTTGACATCCTCAGTCTCTGGAATTACTTGAGCATCTTCTGAATTTTTCTGGGATTACTTGTCTCCAGTTAACAAAGAAATGTTCTGTAGTAATGCTAAGATGGTTCAAATAAGAGAGAATACTGAGCAGATAGTACAGAAATCGTCAGTATTTCAGAGAAAACAAGTCTGAATTGGTAACATTTAAGCTTTTTGGCAATCATTTTTGGTTAAATAGAGGAGTATGGTTTTCATGCCTTTCTTACAAATCATGGGTGCTTGGTAGCCAAAAGCCCCTGTAATACTATACAAAATTATCACATAGTGATAAAAATATAGTGCTAAAAATAATGTAGCACTAAAAATAAAACATGCCATTTATTAATTTCTTTTATGGAGAAGCAAATATTCATGGGTGTTCTATTTATGCAGCTCGCTGCTCAGTTTCCCGCAACAAGATCACAACCTTTAATGAAGTTCAGTTTAACTACACAATGCCTGAAAACTGCTACCACATCTTGGCCCAGGATTGTAGCGCTGACCTTAAGTTCCTGGTGATGATGAAGAGTGCTGAAGAAGCTATAAACCTTAAAGCAATCAACATCAAGCTCGGCAGTCAGTAAGTAATTCTTAGCCAGGTGCTAGGAAGTGTGAGGGACTGCATCATCCCAATTTAACATGAGAGGAGCTTAGATTTAAACTTTACAGAAGTGGTTCAATACTTTCCATGCCTATTTGCATATGGTGCATATGATGTTATCCTGCATCTTAGGGAATACCCCTGCTGTACTTTGAGTAGCTGAAACAAGCTTATGCTACAGCCAGTGATGCCTAGTGAGCAGGACAATCATTTTGTCAGCGTGTGCTTGACTGTGATACAGCCGGGGTACCAACAACCCTCTTCTCCCTTAACAGCGAAATTGACATGCATCCTGCCGACGGGCTTGTGAAACTAGTGGTGGACGGGGTGGAGAGCCCCACGACAAATGTTTCGTACGCATCTACTGCAGGTAAGTGATGCAGCATCTGTTTTGTTCCATTTCCATACATATGTTAGGAGAAAGAAAGAGAGAAAAAAATTCTATCAAAGAGATTCCGTCAGTTTGTTTTCAATAAGTATTTTTACCTTTAGCTGTAAGGTTAATATTTAAGAACATGTATTTTACTTATTTGCATATGAGCACTTATAAAGACTGATTAGAGTGTGACGCTCTTGCCAGAGCCAAACTAGGCAAGATATAATTAACATGAAGTTCCCTCATTTTCATAGATTACTGCAGTTCCCACTGGAGTTCCAAATTCAAGTTCCAAATAGAGCTTTTTTTTTAAATTCACCATACCTATATATCACAGTTTTCCCTCATTTGATTTGTAGGTAGATATTTGGTTAGCATTTGGAAATCTGCTAGGAATAAATAAGGTATGTATAATGCATACAGGTAAAATCAGCTTGCTTTGTTTCCTCAAAGCAGGAATATTTTTCCTGTAAAAGAGCACAGTCAGACTTTGTTTCATTCTGTGTGCCCAGTCAAGGGCAATATATAATGCAGGTCTTTCCTGATGTATAGCTGTAGTACACAAATCAGGCTGAATCTTACTGAAATTGGGTTAGCATCTGTCAGTGCTGAGCTCTGTCCTATTTATAATGTACTTGGTTAGTGTTAACTGTGCTAGAAATGACTCCAGTGACAACCGTGTTGTTCTTTGTATTTTCTTACTACGATATAGTGTAGTCAGGGCCTGTAAAACTGTACAGATGTTATAAGCAGCTCTGTGGTCATTTCTAGAGATAAATATGAATACGTTAATAACCCAAAGAAATAAATAAAGCTGTGATCATTAAAATTACGTTTTCCAAGTTTTACAACACCTATTTTTTATATATACACGTTTTTACATTGTTTTGAAGTATGTTTTGCTTCTTCAATAGAACAGATGAAGAATTTAAGGAAAGAGAGCATTCTAAATAACCTGGAAGTTGCTTTTCTCTTTCTGAAAGATGCTAGTTTGGGTCTGTTGGGTTGGTTTTCTTTTTCTTTCTTTGTTTCCATTCTAGGTGCTTCTCTGGCAATCCACAGTGAAAAACAAGGGCTTGTACTTGTTGCCCCAGCCTATGGCATTGAAAAATTGTACTTCGATGGACACACATTCCAGGTACAGTTAGTTCCTCCTCTGCATAAGCTTACATCTTGAGAAGTTTCTGCAGGATTCCCCTAAAATCTGGCTGGATGAGTGCAGGAGTATACAGTGGCAAAGTCAAGTCTGTCCTGGACCCAAAAACCAAAAAGGACGAAGACACTACAGCCAGCATTGCAGTGTCCTCTTTATTTCTAAATAGAAGATGTCAGAATCCATCACAGACAATAATATCGCAGCCTTGCAGTATAGGTGTATGCTGAAAAGTGGGCCTGTGAGCACACAGAGACTCAATCAGTGGCACATTTGCAAGCAGAACCAGGGTTCTCAGCTCGTCACCTGTTCTTATTGTTGTATAATTCTTAAAACCAGCAAAGATGCAGCCTTTCTTTTCAGATAAGCAAATGTTTTAAAAGCTGTACCAGAAATCATTTGCAACAGAAATGTAAGAGAACAGTAAATCACGTAGTGTGATGAATTCTCCATCAGCTACTGTGAAAACGTTGGTCAAACAAAAGCTTCAGCATCAATAACTTAACAGACTAGACAGGCACAGTAGGTTTTAAAAGCCCTAACGAGTTAAACACACTGCAACGCCACGGGAGTTTGGCATCTGACTCTGACACCCTTTTGAATTCTTAGCAAAGAAAGCAAACGAATTTTAAATGTTTGTGCATTAACTGGCTCCTCTGTAGAAATATTTGCTCCATAGATATTATCCTTTTCAACTTGAAATGACTTTGACTTTTTGTCTCAAAGATTCAAGTTGCTTTATGGATGGCAGGGAAAACATGTGGAATATGTGGAAAATATGATGCAGAATGTGAACAGGAATATCGGATGCCCAACGGTTATCTAGCTAAAGATGCAGTGAGCTTTGCTCATTCGTGGATTTTGGAAGAAAAGCCTTGTACAGGAGGTATACAAGTTCTAATACATTTAATATGCTATTACTACAGTTGTTCAGAAAATGTAGAATCTGCTTAGAAAATGTAAAATATGTAAAAGTTTTGGAAAAAAAAATTTTAAATGAAGCTTCAGTGTTAAATTATATTAACTATAAAAATCATTTGTCATTTTAGAAAGAAATGAGAGATTACAAGTCAAACAAAACAAGCCAAAAAAACCAAGTCAGTTGAAATAAGCAAGCTGAAACAAATCTTGGTTTCAGTTTTTAACTGTTTCCAAAGGTCAGAAAAAAAATGTAAGTGAATAAATTCACATGAAATGTTGTGGTTTAAGCAAAGCAGCATTTCCAGCCAATACTTGAGCCACCAAAAGATCTGACGGTGTTCAGTAGTTAGTACTCTGACTATTTTTGTTACCATGACATGATTATTACCTGATTTGTGAGCTGATGCAACGTGTCAAGGAAGGCATTCAAGCACACGAGTAGTCTCAGGGATATGAGGGGAATTACTTACATGGTTAGAGTAAAAAGGATATATTTTAAGTGTTTCAGTAAATTGGGATCTTACAGTATACTCGATTCTGTCAGCTGAGGTTATGATGCAACAGCGTACTGTACTGGAGGGAGGAGAACAAGCACGTTGCCTTTGTAAGGAAAACTTGTCCTGATAGGAAGGACATACTCGTTACCTGGAGATAACTTTCACATGTTTAGCTGTACGTTAGCTTCATTCTTTTACGCATTGTTGTAAAGAATATTTGGCATCAAACTTTAGATGGATATGTAGTGCACATGCATGTGCACAATAAAATTCACAGCATTGACAGTGACCATACAGTGTATTTCCATTTAACACACAGTGTTAGGGATTAAAGTTGGTAGTTAGGAATGAATTGGGATCCATTTAGCTTCTCACAGACCTGTAGTTGCTAGTCCTGACATCCAAAATGAGACCAATATTACTGACTGACAGCAGTGACTTTTAGGTTTCCAGATCTGTGCAGTGGTGTAATTCCTTAGTCATTACTTTTATTTGTTCAAAACCGTTCTCCTCCCCATTCCACTACTGAATATTCAGAGCTTTTAAATGTGATTTCGCAGCTATTCAGTGAGCCAGTTTACTTTATAAAATGTTTATTAGAAAGTATATCTCACTATGTTTCTACATATTTATCTAGAAATAAACCAGTTGCATTTGAAATTAACTTTCTGTAGCTTCATATCTAATTAGCTTCTTTTGAAAAGCTTATCAGTCAGTGATAGCATTTTACTTATGATCACAGTATAGTTTTTTGTAGGGACAAACTGTGTGCAAATGTGAAACATCATTGGCACCTGGGGTAGCCTGGGGAGATCCAAAGATTTTGTACAAAAGAATTTAAAATTTCATCAATGGTTCTATTACAGCTTGTAAACTGCAGCGTTCATTTGTGAAGCTGGAGAAAACAGTTCAGCTGGCAGGGGTAGAGTCAAAATGCTATTCTACTGAGCCTGTGCTACGTTGTATGAAAGGCTGTTCAGCCACCAAAACTACTCCAGTTACTGTTGGTTTCCACTGTCTCCCAGCTGGTAAGTCAACAGAAATCTTACTGAACAGGAGCTGCACAAAAATCTAAATAGCTTGTGCCTTGACTCAGTTATTCCACTTGAAACATTTGAGTAAACTGACCTATCCACAGGTAGGCATGGACTTACTATTATATTAACTGAAGACCTTTCTCACTTCTCATTAATACATAAATCTGTCTTTAATGGAAGAGATTTTTTTTTTCTGTTTTAATTTTACTATGCTTTTCATGATAGCGGCATTTAAAATCTAAACTGAACTCACCTTCATGGTGGTTTGAACTAGCAGGGTAAGGGCAGAGTAACAACTCTGTGATTCAGCTGAAAAACTATGTATTGCAGCATGTGGTGCTTCAGCCATGTTCAATCCTGTGCAGCACCTGAAATGGGGATCTCCATCTTGTGTAGTTTTGTATCTCAGTGCCTTTGGGCCTGATCCTATTTCACTGAGCTGATTTAGTCGACAGCAGGGCAGGTGTGGACAGGATTCCTGCCCACGAGTGGGTTGATATAGGAACATGTCTGTTTTACAGGTACACTGCAGATTATAACATATTAGATAGAGATTATATAGCTGTTAGATTCATGTTGGTTTTCAAAGTTCGTTTTTCCTTTAAAGCCACAATATCCTTTTCAAAATCTATTATTAATACAATTCTACATGGAAGTAGTAGTTTTCAATGTAGAACTGACTTTCTAATTAACAGGGTTTCCCGGAACATCTCTGCTTGACTTAATCAGATGTAAATATGTATGACAATGAGGAGAAGCCAAGCCTGGTGTAATTAATGACTTCTGCTGTAGTCATTAATGATAAATGCTGTACCTTGCAAAACTACTTCTGAAATATACTGTTTACCTTTCATTTTTTGTTCACCTTCAGACTCAGCTACCAGCGTGTCTGACAAACAGATGAAGTTTGACCAGAAGTCAGAGGATATGCAGGACACAGTTGATGCGCACATAGCTTGTTCTTGTGAGAATGAAGATTGCAGTACATGAAGCTGTACCTTGCAGCACGGGAGAAAACAGAAACATTTTACTGTTTTTATTGTGTGGTATAAGAAGATTCCTCTTCAGCAATGATAGATACACTAAATTAGGTGCCTAAAGTCCTGTTAAGTCTTCCTAAGTAATTTAAAATATTAAACCTTATTATTGTAGAAACAGTTCTGCCCATAAGTATCTGATTTCGTAATAAATCCACGCATGGAAAAATTGATGAAGGCTTTCTTTATTTCAGTGGTTATAGAAATGAGGAGGCCTGTGTTACTTCTCCTCACTCCCCATTTTGTAGACTTCTCAAGTCTGTGGCAGCCTGCCATGAAGATGTGCATCAGGCTGACAAGCGTCTATGTTGGGCCCCGCTGGGGATATGGGTTATGTAATGTAGGAGAAGCTACAGTGACAGGCTCCCACATGTTTCTCCTAGTGCTTTTTTCTTTCCTGCTGGGGTCCTGTGGCCTGGGAGTGGGAACTGATCACCTCGGTGGGATGCAGCATGCTTTAGAGCAGCAGAGCAGTCACTATGTGACATGCCAGTGCTGTCATAGGGAACAGTAAGGTCAGGGATGTAAGTCTGAAACTCATACTTCCAACATGCCACTGGACAAGATTGCTCCAAGAGAGTCAAGATCATGTCATATTCCTGATATAACATATACCACACTCTCACAGAAGTTAGTGTGAATCAGGGGTATTTGAATATAACGCAGTGGAGTTACCTAACTACAAGATCTGTCAGAACAAGAATCCAAAGCAGAGTCAAAGGCTATTGTGCTTTTAGTAACGCGCCAGCCTCCGTGCCCAGAATGAGCCCCCTTGGCAGCGTCCATAGGCAGGTGGGCTCTGCCTCCTGCCAGCCGACTGTGGGTCTGCGTGGGCATGACAAGGGACGCGCTAGTCTGCTGCGGGTGCTGGAGCCCACAGGATTCCACCTGCTCTGGAAGACTCTGCCTGCCTGCCCCAAAGGCCATGCTTGCAGGCTGAATATGCATGCCAAATCTGTTTTTAAGAGAACTGCCTTAGGAGACTGTGCAGACATAACCATTGATGTCAATGAGATTGTTTCCACTGAGGTAGGTTAAGGAGTTTTGCACAAATTTCAATAGAAATAGCATTTTATCCTTTATCATCCACCTTGATTCATCAGTGTTCTCCCAGGTAATACAGGCACATCCAGTCATTTTTATTACTGACCACACATTTATTTTTATATTGTAATCTATTAAGGCAAAGCAGAATGTTTTCTTACTGAGTTGTTAAAAATGTAGGTCTTCAGTAAATTAATTAAAAGATAAACAATTGTTAGGGATCTGAAAATCAATAGAAACCTGTGAAGCCAAAATGGCATTTAACTTTGACCATGAGAAGTGGAGAGGTAATAATTAGTTAATTTTTGAAAACATTTGAGAAAGTTCTATAAAAATTGTGTCCTTTTGCTTTCCCCACGGTTTTGGCACCTTCAAGGTGTGTGTGCATCTGAGTTACACAGTTTGGCAAGATAACATCCTCAGTACTAAAAGTAATGTGAAAGAAAAGCATAAAAGTTGGATGCAGTGTAAATGAGGTCGTGGTACCTTGCATTACAAAGTGATAATGTAATGCACAGTAGCCAGTGTTTTAGCACTAGCCGGCAGTAAAAGTAGTGAGGTACCCTCCATTTGAACTGATAGGCTTGCTCTTGGTTTGGATGTCAAACGGAGCAGTGCAGGAAGCAGAGACCTCCCAGGAAACACCCAAGGCAGGACCCAGCAGAACCCGGGGCTTTGCATGGACCCCAGACCTGTGTCTCACAGGGGGGATCTGGCAGGACACCCCGCTCCCACATGGCCGGGCCCACAAGGCTGCTCTCTGTCCAGCCTGACGAGGCTGGGGCATAGCTTTCGGGAGATTCATCTTCCAGCTTCTATGCTCAAACATATGAGATTTAATAAGCATGTTACTAATGCTCTGGGCGGGTAGGGACAGATAAGCCAAGCAAGAGATGTGTGGGTGTGTTACCTAAGGACCGTGGAAGCAGCACATCCGTTGACCATGGCCTGAGCCCACTTGCTCAAAGCACCTATGGGCTTGCGGAGAGGAAAAGGTTTTCTGGTGCCCACCTCACAACAGCGCTGTGGGGTTGTCTCTCCCAGGCGCTCCAGTCCCTCCTCTGCTGTTATGGAGAGAGAGCTTGAGGGTGGTCCAGGGCCAGCCATCGGCACAGCCCTGGCAAAGTTAACCATTACCTCACCATTTTCTTAAGTTTTTCTTTCTCTTTTTAATTCAGGTTATTTCCTCTGGAAAAATATGAACTGTGAAGGGCTGCAAGTATATTGGGGGACAGGATGGGAGTTTAAATTGTTCTTGAAGCTTTGGAAAAATGGTCTAGAAAAATAAAAGGTTTCAGTTTAATAGAGAAAAAATACAAAGATGTGTATGGAAAGAGATGTAATGGACTCCACAGCCTAGGAATAGCTACTGCATCTGGAGTTACAAGCTGAACATGCATCAACAACCTCTTACTGTTGACATAAAGGCTAATGCCATATTGGGGTTTTTAATAGTCTAAGGTCAGACAGAATTGCCTGTAGGACAGCCTGAAGGTATTCCTCTGCTCAGTTTGGCTCTGTTCAGCCCTTGGCTGGAGTCTCGTTTCAGTGTGTAGACACCGCGGCCTGGCTCACCTGGAGAGAGCCCCAAAGACAGCAGCGTGACTGCCCACGAACACCAAGGAAAGGCTGCAGGAATTGGGTTAATCTAGAGGACGAGAGACTGAAGGCAATGCGAAAATGTTCTTAAAAATATCAACAAGAAACTTTAAAGAGGACTGGGATAAACCCTTCCCCATATCCTGTGTGTGTGGAAATCACAGTGCAATGGGCTTAAATTACAGCAGGGGACACCAAGATCTGGAACAGCCCAACAGTAAGGTGAGGATGAAAGTAAAGCAAAGACGCTACCAGAAAAGACTGTGAAGCATTGGACAACTCTGTGTATCTGCCTGGGGAGGACGTGAAACAGGTGTGAAAACAGATTTCACAGATGTGAAACCTTAGGGACACGGTTTGGTACTGCTTGCAGCAGAAGCATAAGTGATCCTGCCCTGTGGCAGCAGGATGGCTGGGGTGACAAGACCGCATATGCTTTGCTGCCCGAAGCCGTGGCAGCATGGGGAGGGATGGGGCAGAGCTCCCCCCAGGGCCATGGCTGAGGGGACTGAGGTTTTGGGGAGTCCCTGCCCCTGCAGCCTAGGCACGGGGGTTCAGCATGCCTGGCGCATGGCATGGCTGCTGCCTGTGCTCAGCATAGCGCCTAAGGAGGAGCCCCCTTTTTTTGGCGGAGTATTATAGTTTATAATGTTATAGTACAGTGTTTTAGTAATGTAGTGTCATAGTCTATAGTTACAGACACTGAATACTGTTGTGTTTAATCAGACCATAGATGCCATCACAGTGGTGCTCTTCTGCTTTTACTGACTCTGAATCCTCTCTGTCCCTCAGCTCCGAAAGGATGCATGTACTAGGAGACGTCTGGCAGCAAAACCGCACTGCAAAGAGAGGGATTACTCCAGGGCACCCAAGAAAAGGCCCCTGGCTCGCCTAGGCTTGAGCCAATGCCCTGTGCACCAGCACAAGTGTTCCCGATGCCTTGAGCGGCTGTTTGACTGAGGCCACCCCACACAGGAGGTGCTGCAGGTCAGTGCTGTGCATCACTACTCATCCCGAGATCCTCGAAGCGCAGAGGGCGAGTGAGGCCACCGCCATGGGGCCCGGGTCTCTGAGCACGGGGACAGCTGTAAAACTCTGGCCCTGGCCCTGAACTCTGGTTTCAAGAGGATTTCCAGTGGGCTTTCCCCAGAGAGCACAGCCCTGCTGCCTGGGTGAGGAAAGCGCTCAGCTAGCAGCAAGACAGGGCTGGGGGCTGCCCTGCCACTGGCAGGTTTCAGTGTAGGATCTGCAAATTGCATCTGGAGCTCAGAGACATTTTGAGAGTCACAAACTCATTCTGCGTAGCAATTTAAATTGCAGTAGTGCAAAGTCCAAAGGTAGCTATTTTGCAGATTTTTTTTTTTTTAAATTTGTGCGGTTGCATATAGATACGACATATAGCTTTTGAACTTCAATTGCTGGTTGCCAGTATTTATCTACTCCAAAAGTCCTTAGCTATATTTACCATTTACCAAATTGAGAGACATGATACAACTCATCAGTGCTGTGTATAGAGTGAATGGCTTAGCTTTTCTATCACTTTTTTGTCGATTTTATTGGGGAAGAGGTTAAAACAAACAGGACCAGAATACAGTGCCAGTAAGAAAAAGCTGAAGTATTTGCTCTACTTTGAGATGTTTTAAAGATAAGAACTAAATCTTTTACCCTACAGATGCAATCTGTGAGTAAACCCAGTTTGCCAGACACTATAAAATATATCTCAAGTGCTTGATTATTGAAAAAAAACCCTAAAGAACACCAGGAAAGCTAAATCGCCTTGGATAAGCTTCACTACTGCTCATGAGAAGCTAAATGAGTTTAGTCAGCAAACAGCCTAGTCCTTCCTATGAAGCAGTAGCCTCAATTTCCTACTAACAGAATAGGAGCTTTGCTCGAAAACAACAGCAGCGCACCTCAAAACGTGAAAACGAGCGCGCTGGCTGTGCGCTAAGCCTCCTCCGCGGCCGGGCTGCCGGGGAGCCGGCGGACAACCGGCTGGAGCTCGGCACGAAGATGCTGTCCCTTACTGCTTGAAGTGAAGGCGAGTTTGGGCAAACAGGACTTTGTTCATCTTTGTAAATAAATAGGCTTGCAACCGTAACACCCCGTAGCCTCACCCGTTCCCGCCTCACAGGAGCAACCCTCACTGATGTCCGTTTCTGGCTAATCATACAGGCCAAAAGGGCTGACGTTAATTATCCCTGGAAGAAAGGGCAGATGAGCGAAACAAGACAGTTAGTGATGTTTAGCTGTGGCCCTTGTAACGGCTGCAGGACGTGTGTGTTCCTGGGTTAATTCGCTGTCTTCGCAGAGCGGTGCTGAGGGTGGCAGCGCGCAGGTGCCAGGAGGGTGACAGTCTGGTGTCACAGGCAGGCTATCGGGGGCTTTGCACAATCCCTTTGAACCCCTATCAGTTAGATAAGATCGGTCGGTGCCGTATGGTCAGGTCAGAATAACCTGGGCAAAGTTGGCACAGGCCGTAACGGCACCAGCTGCTTCCAACGAATAAAG